TTATCTTGTTAAGGAATTTTTTATTGACTCCTATTTTTAAAATTACGATAAATAAATATGGAACTTCAGTAAATGTCTTTCCAGCATGTATGGAGATGATCACGTTTTTCTTACTTCATAGTTGCTAGAACATAACAGCTCATGTAACACGTTTCCTAATATCACAACATCTCTACATATCTAGTCACTTGGTCATGGTGCTTTAATTCTTTTTAACATGCAGCCATATTCTAATAATATATTATATGGGATTTTTAAGTAATTTTATTGAGCCATAATCCACATACCATACAATTCACCCACGTAAAGTATACAGTTCAGTGCCTTTTAGTATATTCAGAGTTATGCAACCATGACAATCAACTTTAGAATATTTTCATCACTCTCAAAATAAGCCCCATACCCATTGGCAGAGGCTCCCCATTCCCTCCCACCCCTTCTTCTTCCCAGTGTTAGACAGCCACTCATCTCCTTTCTGTCTCTATGCATTTTCTTATTCTGGACATTTCACATAAATGGAATAGTACAATATGTGGTGTTTCATGTCTGATTTCTTTCACATAATATAGTGTTTTGAGGTTCATCCATGTTTTAACATGCTGAGGATATCATTAATTTTTATGACTGAATAATATCCCATTGCATGGATATACCATATTTAAGTTATCCATTCATCAGTTTATAGACGTTTGGGTTGTTTCCATTTTTTAGCTCTTATGAATAATGCTGCTATGAACATTTATGTACAAGTTTTTGTGACAAGTTTCATTTCTCTTGCATGTATATGGTCACATGGTAACTCTATGTTTATCCTTTTGAGAAACTCCAGACTGTTTTCCAAGATGACTGGTCCATTTTACATTCCTACTAGCAATGTATGACGCTACCTGAGCTTTTTGCACTGACATTCATCAATAAAGTGGTCCACAGTTTCACTGTGCAATCTTTATTAGGTTTTAATATCACCAGTATACTGGCTTCTTAAAAGAATTTTGAGGCTTTTTTATCTTTTGTAACACCTAATATGGGCCACCCTAAGTTCTTACCATAATGCTAGATCAGAACAGTTTTTACCCCATTATTTTGGAAGTTATAATTTAAAATTGGCAAGAAATAGTGAAATTCCTATATTAAAACGCACTGTGTTGAAATTTCATAAGTTTGAAAAATAAAGAAAAAAGAAGAAAAGTAAGTGAAAACACCAAAAACCAATAATTTTGTAATTTCATGTCCAAGGGCACATAGTTGTGATTTGATATGAAATTGGAATTAATTCTAATTTTTCATTGTCACTTTGTTTTGCTACCTTGTAAGTTAATCAGCTGTCATAATCAGAGAATCAGAGATATTTGAGATGGAAAATATAATTAGTAAAATAATTAGCACCTTTCTTCCAAGATCTCAAAACCCTTTACCACTTCTTCCTAACCAGTATAGCATATACTGGTCACCAACATAGGGGGTCCACATGTTAGGCAAATCTGTCCTCTTTCCGGACTCTGAAATAAGTTCATTTCAGCTAAATTACAGACAAAAACACAGAGCCAGAGTGTGGGATCGGCTTTAAAGTCAGGCGAGAAACATTGAAGCCATGAGCTACAAACCTCAAACTTTAGTGTCAGAATCATTTGCAGAGCTTGCTATGACACAGATCACTGGTCCCCATCCCCTGAGAGACTGAGGTGGGCCCAAGACTCTGCATTTCTGACAGGTTCCCAGATGACACTGATGCTGCTGCTCTGCAGGCCTCACTTGAGAACCATGAAGTAGAGTTCTCTCTGAGAGTTTCTCGTTGAATTCTGTAGTGTTTCATTGCTTTAAAGTTGTTCAGATTTCTATTCATTAAGGCCAGTCCATCCATTGTATTCTTTATTTTATAGATGTCACATATTTCCAAAGAAAGGATAGGACCTGACTTCACAGTCAACAACTTTATAAACCTCTGAGGTAAAAATTTCATTGACACCTAATTTTACTTTCCCCTCCCCTTTCTCCAAGCTTTATTCCTGGTCTGGAAATGTAGATCAGTTTCACTTCAGGATAAAATCAGCTAGTGTTCTTTTTATTTATGTCTGTTCTTTTTTCCCTCTTGATTTCATTTTCGATAGTTTCTATTGCTTTGTCTTCAAGTTCACTAACCTTTTTCTTTTCTGCAGTGTCTACTCTGCAGTCAGTCCCATCCAGTGTATTTTTTGCTCTCAGACACTGTAGTTTTCACCTTTGGAAATTTGGTTTGGGACTTTAAAAATATCTTTTGTGTCTCTGTTCAGCTTTTTCAATATAGTAAATAACATTATGAAGACTATTTTTAATTCCTTTGTCCGCTAATTCTAACATCTGTGTCAGGTTTAGGTTGAGTTCAATTGATTTGTCTCCTCATTATGGGTTGTATTATGTCAGTTCTTTGCATGTCTGGTAATCTTTGATTATATGCCAGGTATTTTGAATTTTACCTTTTCAGAATCTGTTTTTGTTTTCTTGTAAATGTTTTTGAATTCCCTTCTGGGACACAGTTACGTTTTGTTGTTGTTTGTTTAATTGTCACCGGAGGATATGTTTTTATTGCTTTTTAGAGAGAGAGGAAGGGAGAAAGAGCAATATTTCGTGTAGGACTAATTATTCTGCACTTCCAAGACAAGATCCATCTGAGGGCTCTACCCAGTACCCTGTAAATTATGGGATTTTCTAGTCTGACTGGTAGGAACAGGCACTATTCCTGGCCCTGAGTGAACACTGGTCCAGTCCCCTCCAGTTCTCTCACATGGTTCTTTCCCTAACCTCAAGCAGTTTCCTCATATCCATGCACCAGTCAGTTCTCCACTCTGTGGAACCGCCCCGGGGGCCACCCGCAGTTCTTTGGAATTCTCTCTCTGTGGAGCATTCTCCTATCTGGTACTCATACTGGAAACTGTAATTGCCTTGGTTTCCTCACACTCAGCTCCATCTCCATAGCTCAGAGAGTCCACTTGCTTCCACCTTAGTTCCCCCTCCCTGTACTATGGCCTGGAAACTCTCAAGGCAGTAACATGAGGCAGTGGTAGGGCTCACTTCATCCCCCACCCCCGAAGGATCATTATTATTTGTCGCTGATTTTCAGTGTCTTGAAAACTATTGTTTTATATGTTTTGTGTAGTTTTGAGGGGGAGGTGTTTCAGGTAGTAAAGTAAATGAGGTTCTTGTTACTCTATTTTTGCCAAAAGCAGAAATCCTCAGAAAGCATTTTAAGTGGCCTGAATATCTGGCTAAACTACACATTCAGTTCAGAAAACAACTTAACATAGGAACCTCTATTTCTTGATGCCTTCTGTGGGCCAGGCATTGTGATAGGTACATTCATACGGAATTCATTCATATAACGTATTGATCGAACAGCTGTTATGTATCAAGGACTGTTCTAGGCAATGAAAATACATCATGGTACAAAACAGATTTTTAAAAAAAATGTTCCTATGGTGCTTCTGTGCTACCTGGGACTGAGAATAACCAAAATTAGTAATTTAGTTGTATAGCGCAGTAAAGGGTAGTAACTGCTGTAAGAAAGTAAAGAGCAGGTTAAGGGGGTTCAGGAGCACTGGAGTGGAAGCTGACGACTGCAGTTCTAAGTGGAATGGCCAGGGTGGCCTTACTCAAGAGGCTAACTCAGTCGAGCAAAGACTTGAAGAAGGGGAGGGACCAAGCCACAGGCCGGTATGGAAGAAGAGCGCTCGCACAGGGGAGGCAGCAGTTACAGACCCTGAGGCGGGAGCACGCGGTGTGTTCAAGAAATCACGGAGACCTGGGTGCCAGGGCAGCGCCCGGCGGGCGAGGCTGGGCACTGAGGGCGGCATGGGACCGGGTCCAGCGGGGTCTTCTCGGTCGTTGCAAAGACTTCGGCTTTCACTATGAGTGAAGACAGGGGCCATTACAAGATGGTAAGAAGAGAAGGCTTGTGACTTGAAGTGTGTTTTGAAAGGATAATTCTGGCTGCTCTCTGGAGCAGACGTTGTAGGGTGATGGGTGGAAGCAGGGAGACCAGCGAGGAGACTGACTGACATCAGCTGAGAGGGTGACCGTTTTCCCAGGGCGGAGCAGTAGAGGTAGAGAGAAGCTGGGTTTTGACAGAGTTCAAGGGTAGAACTAACTGCCTTTCCCCGCATGTCTCATGCAGGCACAACAGAACAAGAAGCTCAAGGGTATAGTCAAGGTCTTGGCCTGCGCAGTGGGGGACGTGGAATTAGCAGATGAGAAAGACTGTGAACGGAATGAATTTGGGGGAAGATGATAGGAAGTCAGTACGCAACATGTTCGGTTTGGGATGCCTGTTAGATACCCGTGGGGAAATGTTAAAATAGGAAGTTGCGTGTGTGAACCTGGAGTTCACGGGGGATTCCAGGCTGACAGGTCGCATCAGATGGAGACTAAGAACCGGCCGAATCTAGCAAGGTCGAGATCGCGGGTAAGTTTAAAACCTGACCTTCTTTTGGAGACAGTGTCAGGATGGGTGACTTTTTAAATGCGCCAAAAACTTAGAGAACTACTAAGTGAAAGTCGTCTCCATCTTGCCACCAGATTGCACATTTCATGAATAAGAAATGCAGTTGACGTGCCAGGGAAAGTAGATATATACTGAGTTCCACATCATTTATTTTATAATCTTGTACTTCAATTGGGTGGGGAACCCTTTCGTTTTAATATGTACCTTCTTGCTGTTCAGAGGCTAGTCTCACTCTAATGACTGTGGTAAAGGTCAGATACTTGTCCCTGGTTCGTCTCCCTAAACGTATAAACTAGCAAAAGCTTGACTATTGCATTTAAATAGAGAATTCTTCCTCTTCCAGATTCAAAGACTAAATAAAATATAGAACAGACAGTTACATTGCAGTTTTCTATCATATCTCTTGAAATGATTTTGTATATGGCTTTTAAATAATTTCAGGTGCCTCAAAAATAATGTTAATAGCTCAAAATCAAAAGTTAAAAAAAACCCTAAGTATAATTTTTTAAAATCCTTTCTCCTCAAGCGTTTTACGATGGGATAATGAGGCTGACGTCTCTCAGCTGGAAGGACATTTTGACACGGTTATGTGTGCTGACTGGTAAGTACATAAAAATCACAAAACTCCTGTTAGGGAAATAGCGTTGCTGGAGTGATTGGGCTGTGCTGTTTTGCTGACGGCTAAGCAAAGTCAACCAATGAAGCACAAAGCCACCTTAACCTCAACAAATTAATATTCATCTCCGTGTGACAGTCACAAGGTAGTCTCCTATCACACAGTAACTTCTACCGCATTATTTCCCAAAGATTGATTTTGAGAAGCGTTTCCATTTTCTGGAATTGCCTCTGTTTCATGCTTGACGTATCAGTAAATGGACGACTTAGGCAAATTGCAAATAATTATGGCTCGGAGAGGAATAGTCTGGAGGAAAAGAGTTTATCAACACAAACAGCTCAATTAGCTTACTTCTTAGGAGAGATCTGACTATTGATATAAGGGAATATATGTATGTGTGCACACATACATGCGTGCCAGCAAATAAACATATCTATGGAATATCTTTAGGGAAATAGCTTTTCTTAAAATGTATGTTTGCTATCTAATATTTCCAATGTATTCAATTATGATATTTAATTACACATAAAACAAGAATTATAAAATTACATTTTATTGTTATGCAAATGATAATATTAAAATCTCTGTCAGGTGCCTGCTTTTTAAAAATAATTTACATATTTTGTCTTCTCTTTTAGCCCGGTCTACTCATTGTTAATGACAGCCTGATCCTAAGTTACAGGATAAATATGTATCAAACCTTAATAATGATTTCAGCTAATCTTATGTATTCTCTTCGTGTGTGTTGAATAATAATTGTTTCAGCATATGGGAAACGTTTAAAATTCACAAGTGTTTTCCCTGTTAAGAGTAAGATCTTATTTGTTTGTTTATCATGATGTTTTTTATGACACTTTAGATTTGAAAAACACAGGTTCAGATTCTAAAGAAGATCTATGATATTGATAAACTCAGTCATAGACCCAGAACCCAGAGAAGAGTTTCCCTCTCAGAGAGTTGAATGAATGGGATGAAATTTTCAGGAAGTCTTTATTATTATTATTATTATTATTAAATACAATTTTCAATGGGTAATTTTTCTACCTAGGTCAATGACATTAGATTTGCTTTTTTCCCCCTTCTGATAAATAGTTCTCAATAAAAAAAGTAAATACTTTGTTGTATTTTTAGCTTGAGATTTTCTAGTTTTCCATAGCCCTTTTAGTCTTTCTGAACCCAATTTCAGAAAAAAACCTGTTTCAAAGAAGGGAGAAATAGATTTTTGATTAATCGCTGATATCGTGTCTCACTATTACATCCTTCATCTAATCAAAACTAAGGAAATAAAATCTCACCATATGATTTGAGCAAGTAATTTAGCAAATGCCTTTCCTCACCAAATATGAGAAAAGATCCGCCAGGTTTCATTGCACAGATGAAGATACTGCTGGCAGGATTATCAGATTAAGCATGAAAGTCAGATCAGAGAGCAGCGGAAAGGGGAAGGAGGGCAGCATCTTCTTGGAGATTTAGACGAGGGTCGCACATGGATGGGCTCAGATTATGTGGGGAAAGTCAGGTCTGGCCAAGAGATTTAGGTTAAATGTGCCCTTTGCACAAATATCAGAATAGCCCGTCTTTGTCATACCTTGTGTTATGGACACTCACACCATGTCATCCTATTTGTACCAGAGAGACAAGCAGAGGAAGTAAGATTTAAGCTCTTTTCTGATTAATGTTCTCAGGTTAAAAATAGCCACACAACATGTTTGAAAAACAGTCCTCTTTGCCCTAGCCAACAACAGGGTCACATACAACTGGTATACATAGTGCGTATTCACTTGAGGCTTTCATTAAAGCATATAACATAATACAGTGGACACACACATACACACATCACAAACACACGCACATGTAGTGGCTCTGTGAGAATTTATGAATCCAAATGAACTAAATATACCAAGTTTCATTTTATAAATGGCTTTTCTATGCATGAATTAAGGATCTTTTTCCCTAGTGTTCTAAGTGCTAGAATGTCAGCCTGTTTATAATTTCCCATTAGGAAATGCGAAACATTAAGCTACTCTCACTGCGATGCTGATATTATTTCCAAAAGAAATGCTTTGGTAATGGCCCCTCTTCGTATTCGCAGGGATGGGTAAGCTGCTTAGAAACTTAGAAAGTACAGTGATGTCTGTAATGTGCATGTTGTGCGCATAGCGGGGAAGCACGGGGCCCATGAGCTCTTTATTCCTGTATGTGGCGTTTCTCTAGCAGAGTTACTGCCTGGATGCCGCTTTTGGGGGCAGGCACGTAGACCATGCAGCATTTTTTTTTTTTTTTTT